TTCAAAGTGAACAAAAATGAGTTTCAGCTTTAACACTGAAAATCTTGGCGTATTCTTTTGAACTTGCACTATTCAGCAACCCATGGAACTCGTCCAATGTTGGTGTGAACTGAGTGCGCACTGGTGCGCACTAACTTTTGCCCAATCGAAAACGCTATAAGTTAGCGATCTAGTGTAGTATAGAAATCTGTGACCGGCATCTTTCCATCGCGTATATGTGAGCAGATGATCGAATAAATTATTAAAATTGGAAAATTTTGTGAGACCACTCTTATGTGCCCGTGTCACACTACGGATTGCGAACGCGGATCGGATTGGGATTGCGGATCGTCGGATTTGGATTCTTCGTTCACACTACGGACCATGGTACGGACTACGGATTCAATTTGCAACATATGCTGTATCGCAAATGTCGTGTCGTCGACGTTTGCTGTGTACATTCTGTCTCGATAAAACGGTTTTAAAAGTTGCATCCCGAAATTTGGGACCCATTGTATGAGTTATGACGAGCACAGGTAACCTAACCACACAAACGATGCTTATTCATCCATCATAAATGGGTCACGTGACCAAACTCGATGTTTTATTGGCTTGGATTACGATTACGGATCGCAAAAATAGAGAGCCGTCTATTCTGTAATCTACAATCCGGATCCGAAACTGCCTTGTCTTGATTGGCTGAGTTCCGATCCGCGATCCGCAATCCCAATCCGATCCACGTTCGCAATCCGTAGTGTGACACGGGCATTAGGTTTATTCGACGCGTTTTTGCATGAAACGAAAGAATCTAGCAAAAAAACGTCGTTCTGCTTGTAATCTGAGATATTAAGCGTTAAAGTTGATGACTATTGAGGTTAGGAAATCTGTCACAGAGGCAAAATGAGGTCTATAATTGTACTGTTCCACATGGGTTTCAACTTTTCATGCAATGCAAAGGAACGCACGACTTCTATAATTGTACTGTTGTAAAATCGAAACCCTTGTGCATTTTTTCAGACAGAATAAGCTAAAGTGATCTAGAAATTAGAATCTACGCATGGTGGTTCTATCATGTTTCGACGTAACAACAAAATAGCGTAAAAAGCATAAAGTGACTAGACAGAAACTGATGTTCAAGTGAAATGATATGATTGGTCGGCGGCGTCGGCGCAAGTTACGCCGCATGTGACGGTACCCTTAGGCTGGATTTTCATTTGACGCTAGACGCTTATTTTTACCGTCAAAACAGGTCACGTGATCAAAATTGACGAATACCAAGCATCAATTTTGATCACGTGACCTGTTTTGACGCTGAAAATGAGCGTCTAGCGTCAGATGAAAATCCAGCTTTACATATATGGTTCGCTCGCCGTTCAATGAATCATTCATGTATGTGCATGATCGTTGCTGTCGTCGCTCGCCACAGGGGCGAAAGCGGAATCGGAAAAGGGGAAACAGACATGGCGGACGTGCCATACAAGTGTGGGGATAAAATTTGCGTTTGCGCTTGCGCGGCTCGGAACTGAATCCGAAGTGTGGCGATAATGGCCGACCGGTTACGAACCTTAAACCACAAGGCACAACGTGCCAAAGCAGTATTGCCGCGGGTCAAAAAATAAATTCACCAAATGAGAGCCTGAAAAGTTACTAAAATGTCTGAAAAATCACCAAATGTGTTGAAACGACCAAAAAAAAAAAGAAAAGTTTTTACAGACTTTCAAATCATGTCGGGATGTGCCACGCCTCAAATAATTTGTGAAAACCACGTTTGCCATATATTCAAATATATTTATACTCGCATTCATTATAAAATTACCATCAAAAAATACTATTAAAAATTTTTTAAATAAACTTGTTACGCGTTAACCATTTAACCATTAAGCCCATTCTACAATTGCGTAAGTGTAGTTGTAAATAGTTGTAGTTACATTCTTTGTAACAACATTCGGTTATACATACAAAACAAATCAATACATTTCTGAATAAATTAATACATTTCTTACATTTTACGATTACACTATTGCTCGTAAGATTACAAGTTTTCAGCATTCCCATTTGCACATTTTTATAATGCAACTCCATGATTGGTTTATGCTAATATGATCCAAAGAGGAACTGAAAACAAGACCAATAAGAGGAGTAGAGGACGCTGACATAAAAATTCACTAAATAAAGTAATTCACTAAATCAACAAAAGACCTTAAAAATCACTAAAATAGTGAAAATTCACTAAAAACGGCAAGACTGTGCCAAAGCAACCGGCCATTGTTTTATTGTGCTTCCATATCCATAACGCCATCAACCGCTATCAACGACATCAACGTACGACGAACACTCAGGGCGACTGTTACCAACGCCGATTAACTTAATCGACGATTAACTCAATCAGCAGAATTACTATTATAGATAGGAGATTTTCATTACTTTTATCACAGTTAAGTATAAGAACGCAGAGATAGAAGTATATCACGAAGAGATGAAGTTAAGAACGATATACAGTCTTGCTGTTGAATACACAGCTGATTGAATTAATCGTTGATTAAGTCGCCCTCAGAGAAGAACTATCATTATTTGTCGTCGTTCTGATATCAAAATGATGTCTTTAATGTCCTTTTGACGTTAAAATTACTGCAAATGTTCTCTCTCTCTCTCTCTCTCTCTCTTTCTCTACCTGGGAATGTGTAGGTTTATTCCGTCCATGCTTCAAACCTACACATATATAGAGGTGCGTTCCGTATCGCGCATGATGTGCATGATGCATCCATCGTCCTTGTTTAACATTTGGTGAGCAACAAGGATAAACGATGCATTATGCGCATCATGCGAGAAACGGAACGCACCCTAGGATATTAGTTCTCTGCCAGACCACTTGAGGCGCAACGATTATTTTCCGTTTCCATTATTCAACATAGAGCTTGCGCTTCTCTTTGTATATGTTCTGTGTCGCTTGTTTCCTTGGCCGGAATGCCCGGAATTGCCGTTAATTTGTAGTCTAGCAAGACCGCTCGAGTAGGATGGACCTGTGTCTGCCCTGCTTCGGGTATTGCATCATTAATCATCTTATTAATTTTTTGCTGAAAAGCGTTTCCGGCTATAACTGTGATTTGTAAGCTTGGCCACGTAAATCCAACTAAGTTGGAACCTGGGCCATATAAATAAAGAAGAAGAAGAAGCCGTCAATTTATCGGCGAGCCCGGCAAGCACTCCGAAGAAGAAGTCGCCGCCGCCGTCGTTTGCTTCCACGTGCCGAAAACGTTTGAAAAGATTTGCGGCGATATGTCCGTCGCACGATGCGCTCGGTTGTTTTCCTCATCGAAGGTGCCTATCATTTGAATAGCGATCATGTAATTTTTCTCTAGAGCGAAAACAGGAAAAGTGAACTGTGTGTGTGTGTGTGTGTGCGTGCGTGCGTGCGTGCGTGCGCGCGCGCGCGCGCGTGTGTGTGTGTGTGTGTACATACGTCGTATCATGCATATAAAAAGTTCTCGCTTTTCACGTTTCCTAGGAAAAAAGTTACACGATCACTACCCTTACTGAACCACTGTCAATATAATCTTCAAATCATGTCTTTTAATGTCTATTTCTAACGTATCTATTTTTATGTTTATTTAATGTAGATTAATTTGAATCTTGATTTATCTTGCTCGGTATCTTTTTCGGTAAATATTAAGAATAGCCCGCTCATCTCAAATTTTGATAAAAATATATTCAATCGACGCGTTTTTGCATGAAATGAAAGAATCTGGCAGAAAAAAGTGTCGCTCTGCCTCGCGAACCGAGATATTTAGAGTTAAAGTTGACGACTATGGAGGTTAGGAAATCTGTCATACCGACTATGTGTGATAAATTAAACGTATGTAGTAGTGCTTAGACAGTGTCCGCTTGGAATATTTGTAACCCATGTAGACAGTGGGATGTATAGACAGTAATGCTTGGGTTCGGGGCGGCGTAGTGTTTGGAACACCACCGCGGTGTCAATTGTAACAAGTTGCGGCGATGCCATTAATGATAAATATCATTTATAATTTGTTACTTTTTAAAATATCTATTAAGTTGAAATTAATGCCAAAGGATATATTTGTTTTCATAAAAAATTTCAATTTTTTCTTATTTATAATAAATTGGTTAGCTGCAAAAAACTTGTTACAATTGACACCGCGGTGGTGTTCCAAACACTACGCCGCCCCGAACCCAAGCATTACTGTCTATACATCCCACTGTCTACATGGGTTACAAATATTCCAAGCGGACACTGTCTAAGCACTACTACATACGTTTAATTTATCACACATAGTCGGTATGACAGATTTCCTAACCTCCATAGTCGTCAACTTTAACTCTAAATATCTCGGTTCGCGAGGCAGAGCGACACTTTTTTCTGCCAGATTCTTTCATTTCATGCAAAAACGCGTCGATTGAGTATATTTTTATCAAAATTTGAGATGAGCGGGCTATTCTTAATATTTACCTCTTTTTCTAATTCTTATAACTATAAAAGGAAAAGAAAGAAATGTATTAAACCGACAGTTTCTGTTAATAGTTTGTAACTATTATTGAAGCATTTACTCGATAACATATATTTACGTATATATTCTTACAAGTTTTATCCATTGAGAATGGTTTAATATAAACTGAAACATTTGATGGATAGTACAATTTTAATGGATAGTAATTTTATTAGTACGTTGAGTTAATACTGAACTGACATCGTGCCTGGCTCATTGAACTGTATTCGTTAATTTTTATTATTAAACCGAGATTAAAGTCAATCTATAATGGTAGAAATAGACATGGATCAGAATCATTCCCTTGAAGCTATATGCATAATGCGATTCCATTAACAAACACTTTCAGAACGCGTTATTACTGAACCAGAGAGTAACACAAATACATAGGGATTTTGGTACCATCAGGCTGTTATCTGTAATTTCGAAGACACAGCCACCAATGCCTAGGGATGTCCACACAGTATCCGAGCACTGTACATCTACAGTGGAAACTTTACAACCAAAGATGGGATTTTTTGCAAGAATACTGAAAAAAACTGGTATTCTAGATGTCCAGAAATATGTAATTAAAAGTTTTTCATTGCCATTCGGCCTTGAGTAGTGAAACGAGAGCGTTTGTGAAGCTTGTTGTACCTTTACAATCTGTAAAAGCACTCTGTGGTTTTTATCCATATGTTCAAAGTTATTGATAACATTAACTGAATATTATTACAGAGAAATATGGATATGGGTTATGAAGTATACGAACATTTAATTGGTCAAGTGGATTATCCTTTCTTTTTTAAACGTAAGTTCTCTATTATAAGTATTGTAATTCTAACTTGTATACATTTTAAACATGTTCTTTGTAGATTTTAATATGCCAGATACGTTCTTCGCTTGGTTTCTGGTGACAGAGCTTCATGTCTGGATGATAATGATTCGCTATATGGCAGACGAGAAGGATGGAAAAGCTATCAGAAATTATACAGTAGCAGCAATGTGGCAGGACACACAAGCCAGGATAGAAAATCTCGGTGTAGGTAACATTGTGATTGACTTTTAATATACTGTGACTTTTAATATACTGTCATATATATATATATATATAAAAACGACGACCTCAAATTTCTCTTGAATAGTACATTTTAGACAAAAATGTTTCAGACAAAAGTTTTGTAACTTCGAGGGGGACATAAGGTGACATCATTGGTTTGACTTTGGGTGACATTGTCAAGGTCAGGGCAAAGTTACTTCGAAATTTTTAATGGAACCTTCCATTTTATATATTCTTGTAGCTTACCTCGAGAGCTTTTCAAAGCACTATAATAAAATATTTTTTCATTAAATACTTTGTGAGATATAAGGCTTGAAAGTTACAATATCGTCGGCATTAGCATTACCCAAGGTGTCTGACCGATGACTGAAACCTCTTAAATGTTGTTCAGGATCATGACCTGGATAACATTTGTCATGATCAAGACCATTAGAGGTTGTTCCTCTTATTTTCATTTTTACATATAAATAAATTTTTAGTGCAAAAATGAAAATAAGAACAACCTCTAATGACCTTGATCTCAATAAACGTTCTCCAGGTCATGATCCTGAACAACATTCAAGAGGTTTTAGCTATCGATCGGACACCTTAAGTAATGCTACTACTGGCGGTGTTGTAACTTGCAAACCTTATAACTCGAGAAGTACTTAATGAAAATGAACTTAATTATAGTATTTTAGAAAGCTCTCGAGGTAAGCTACAAGAATGTGTAATGAAAAATGGGTGGTTCCATTAAAAAAATTTAAAGTGACCTTGCCCTCACCTTGATAACACCACCTAAGGTCAAACAAATGGTATCATCTTATGTTCCTCTCGATGTATATATAAATATGTATATATATGTATATATACAAGGGTCGTCTGAAAAGTTTTGAGCCTAACATAGAAACAAGTAATTTTTCGGTCAAATTCAATTTTATTTTTCCACATAGTCTCCTTTTAAGTCAATGCATTTTTTCCAGCGATGCTCCCACCCCTTTAATTTATTCAAATAATACTGAGCGTCTTGCTTTGCAAAATAGGTATCTACGGATGCGATGACCTCCTCGTTCGATGAAAATTTCTGTCCTCCGAGCCAAACTTTGAGCCTAGGAAACAGAAAAAAGTCGCTGGGGGCAGATCTGGTGAATACGGTGGATGGTCAATTAATTTGAACCTCAATTCGTGAATTTTTGCCATAGCGACCGCCGAAGTGTGAGATGGTGATCTTGATGGAACAGCACTTTTTTCTTTTTCAAATACGGTCGTTTTTTCTCAATTTCTGCCTTCAGCTTGTCAAGCAATGATGCGTAGTACGTCCCTGTTATTGTTTTATCTTTTTCAAGATAGTCGATCAACACAATTCCATGACTGTCCCAAAAAACAGTCGCCATCACCTTTCCCGCCGATAAAATCTTCGCTTTCTTCGGAGCAGGTTCACTCTTTGCAGTCCACTGTTTTGATTGTTCTTTTGTTTCAGGAGTGAAGTGGTGGACCCAAGTTTCATCAACTGTTATTAATCGACGCAAAACATTCGACTCGTTTCGCTTAAACCGCTCCAACAAGGCCTTAGAAATGTTCATTCGAATGCGTTTTTGATCCAGAGTGAGCAAGCGCGGCACCCAACTCGCGGTTAACTTACTCATGCCTAATTCTTCAGTCAATATATGACAAACACGTTCTTTTGATATGCCAACAGCCTCTGCTATCTCCCTAATCTTAATTCGACGGTTGTCCATTATTATTTGATGAATTTCTTCGATGTTATCGGTGGGGGTCGCAGTTGTTGGCTGTCCCGAACGCTCATCATCAGCTAAGCTGGTATGACCACGTTTAAATTCAGCTACCCATCTTTTCACGGTGGCAAATGATGGGGCAGAGTCCCCGTAAACAGCGTCCAACTCGTCTTTAATTTGCGTAGACGTATTGCCTTTCAAATGCAAGAATTTAATTATAGCACGATATTCAATTTTTTCCATTTTTACAAAATGACGACACAAATAATTGTCAAACAAGAACTGAACGTCCAAAGTGGCCACAATTGTCACAGATATCTTTCGTAAGTATCACGATTATAATACCAGAATGGCTTTGACAAGTAACGCCATTTTCATGATGAGGCTCAAAACTTTTCAGACGACCCTCGTATATACAGGGTGTTTGAAAATTATCGGCTAACCGATCACGAGCAGTAGAACGGATTACTCAAAATATTTAATTTTGGAGACTGGCCAGTCAAGGCTAGATCGGTCGGTGGTCCGTGAATCTTGACCTTCAGTTAACGCACAAACAAAAACATAACACGTATTACATATCTTGGGTAATGCTAGTGCCGGCGATACTGTAACTTTGAAGCATTATAACTTGAAAAGTACTTCATAAAAAAATATTTCATTGTAGCGTTTTGGAAAGCTCTCGACATCAGCTATTAGATTCTAATATCAAAAATAGGGTATTCCATTTCAGAAAATCAATGTAACCTTGACCTGACCTTGGCTACGCAACCCAAGGTCAAACTGATAGGATCAGTAAATAGATACTTTTAAACCATATAACTTTTGTCTGAAACACTTTTCTGTAAAACTTATATTTCTCGAGATATTTAGGTGTCCCGACCTTTTTGTTACACCCTGTATATATCATATGTACATACACAGGTTGTATCACAACTACCAAATTTCCTCTTAAAAAGACATATTCTTGAGGTAATTTTGAGACGAAAATCCTAATACAAAAATGTCAAGGCTACAATAATTTTTAAATTAATCGCAATTAAATTTCGCTAATCACAGAGCTGACATTTCACTCGCTCAGGCATGACGATATGACAAGTGGTGAATGTACCATAAGGGCCCCCTTAACATGCAATATTTTTCAGAAAGTTGTTTGAAACCTATTTGTACATTTTTAACTTTTAATTCTACATACACACGCATAATTAATATGCATAATTAATATCGGAATGGCATATCGTAAAATATCAATTCAATAGCAAGATATTACGAATAATAAAAATAAGCAAGCCCATCAAAGCCAACATCAGTTGTTCGGATGCACAATTTATTTTCGTGTTAATTAAAAAAATCATATCAAAAATTAATTCATATACGTTTCGACCCCTATTTTTGGGTCCTTATCAATATAAACCTAAATCCGCTTACATACTATACGCAAGTTCCAAGCTGCGATACAGCTCATTCTTTATCCAATTTCCAAGTTAGCTGTGTACGAAATACTCACATCAATATAACAACTCACACCGGCATAACAATTAATATAAATAAAAAATTATACTAAACATCAAATCAAAGCTGGTATACTAATACTAAAAAATTGAAGTTATAAAAATTTATATTACAATTATAAAACGATGGGGGTAGTGGTGGGATTTTTTTATTATATAGAAGACCATCGTCTTGATATAATATCAAGAACTGGCACCAAGTTAAATTCTACTATCAAAATAAAAACCCAAGTAATACTATATTTGCTGTTTAGTAGAACTAATGATATGTATCATTTGTATAAAAGATTTGATATCAACAATTGTGGCGCCAAGTTAAATTC